ATTACCTACTCAAAGGCTTGCTATGAAGATCAAATGTGTTAAAGTAAGTGCTTAGCACAGTATCTGCCATATAAAATGCTCAATAAATATCACATATTACTACCCCTCGTAGTTTGGAGGTCATTAAGTATTCTGTCATAATGAATTCTGCTGTGCACCTAACTTGCAGTCTTACCTTGGCACCGGCCAATTCCTTCATCATGAAGAGAGAATCATCAGCACGTTCGTCGTCGTCATCATCATAATTTGGAGAAGGAGCTCCCTCTGTTCCTTGCCTCAATAGGCTGCCACTTCCTCTAGGATCAAATGGATCCACCACAATGGGCTCAGTACCTTTAATTTCACATCGGCAGAAAGGACAGCCCTGACCTTCTGATTCCTGCAGAGGAAGAAAAAGATGGTAACAGATACATCTGAAAGTCTTTCAAAATATTTATCTGCTAGGAAATACGTTCCCTAGTGGTAAAAAGTTAAAGGTTTAAACCTACCCCACAAACCAGGCCACCCTTTAGATCTTTAAAGGATACATAATGCCCCACTCCCCAGAGTGATTACATAGCTGAGAAAATATGGGGTTTGGATCCATACCTGCCAGGATGTAAGACAAGACGTGCACATGAGGTGTCCACAGGGCTCAATCTTCACATCCTTATCATTTTCAGCACATATTTTACACAGCTGGAAGGTGGAGCCCATCTCACAGTATAATTCGTATTGTTCCTTTGATTAAAAAATAAGACACTGTTTGTTGAATGAATGAATGACTGTGATCGTAAATGCTAACAAGAAGAAAATTTAACACAGTTACTCGCTCGAAAAACATTGCTTATATAAAAATGTTACAACAGTGATCAACGTTCTGCCTTTAAACCAGAAAGCATCTAGTACTGGTCCTACTTTCAACTCCATAGTTTAAAGAAAAACTACACATATAAATTCACTAATCTAGCCAATGGTTTAACATTAAAGTTCCAATTGCTTAACTCTATTATGCTAACGGTTCTATAACATATGTACAGAAGCTTGACTCTGATATGTTTATATTGTAAAACAAAATTCACCTGCGTCACTTTGATGTGGTCTTGGGGGGTTGGTTCACATAAGCCTGTCAAGTCAGGATTCTGATTTCGTCCATCAGGAAACAAATAGCTGTCAAAAGAGTAACCAACCTTGGGACTTCACTAAAGCCAATTTATTTGTGCTTGCTATACAGACAAATGGTATCTAGTACCTTCCCCATTCTAAACAGCAATTTGTATAAGTATAAACATAAATCTAATATCTCAGAAAAAAAACAAGAAAGAGCAGTTCCAAGAAGATATTCTCCAAATACTAATACTCCTTCTCTAGAAAACAATGCCGCAGCCTCTATCTTTCAATCAAGGAGTTGGCAAGCTTTTCCTATAAAGAAATAGACAGCAAATAGTTTAGACTTTGTAGGCCCCATAAGTCTGTGTTATATATTCTTTGGTTGCTGTTTTTTTTTTTAAAACAACGCTTAGGAAAAACTATCAAGGCTTGCAGACTATAGAAACAGCTGGCATACGGGCCATAGTTTCCAATCCCTGTTTTAATCTCTGGGTGGTCATGAGATACAAAGTCTTAATTTAACTGGATTTGCTTTTTACCAAAAACCTAGACTACATTTGTTTACAGGTTTAACAAAACGAGAGATACCAATTTAAAAGTAATATAACAAGGTCCAAGTTAAGCCAATGAGATCATCTACCAGGCAGATAGGCAGTTCCTGGCATCAAACTTCTCCGACATGAGGGGCAGCACCTCTTTCAGATCTAGTGCTACTGTAGAAGATGATCCACATTGAAAAATGGATTTTTCCTAATCACTTTAAAACAAAACCTAGTTTTCTGCTATTTGGTCAACTGTTAACTAGTTGTAGTGCTTACCAACTGATAATCAATTTGAACACCAAAAGAATAGCAATAAGGAGTTACTCATAAATACTAGCACAGGTTACAAAGTCCAAAGATTGAAGAAATGCTACTAAACAAAAATGAAGTGAGAAGGAAAGCAGATGAAGGCCAGGGAGACCTGCTGTCATTAGGAACATCCTGTCACTTGAATGCTGGCTAGACAAATAACTGGCCAAATTTCCTGATACTTGATAAATTTTAAAATCTAATATAGACTTGAAACTGAGTCAATATTTAGAAAAGGAGAAACAAAGTTTACTCATGGTAATAAATGAAGCAACAGAGAAAAATAATTTCATTCACAGAATCAGGATCAGGTAAGAACAAAAGTCCTACAGAGCCTGAACATCAAATCAGTATAACATACTAACGTTTCCAAAAATCATTAAGGATGCGGTGCTATGACCCCTGAGTTCCCAGACTCCAGCAAACGGGAAGCAGTAGGTACTCACAAGCCTTCCCTGAAGCCATCAATCAGTGCTTGGAAGAGAGGTTTGTTGTGAGGGATTGTCTGGAGAATGTTCCCGTCAGCAGTAACATACCCAATAGCCCACTGACCCAGACGAGTACAGCTCAGCCGGAAGATGTAACTATGAACAGAGATAAACAGAAGATTTAATAGATATGTCGGTATTGGGGTGAAAGGCAAGACAGAGACAAGAATCAAAAGGATCATCAAGACTAACTTCTTCAATGACTCCAGACCAGGAAGAAAGGACATATAAACCAATATTAAGAGGCTTAAAAGCACTTATCAAATCATAGGGTCGGAATAAGTCACTTCCTCTGATAGCTACCCATCCTACTGCAGAATCTTGGCCAGTGGGGAACTAATTAAGAGATCATGTTTCTTATATAGGAGCAGACATCACAAGAGAATAACATTCAGGAGAAGAAACATCTTTGCTGCATGGCACTGACCTGCCAGGTTTGTGAATGAATTTCTGGAGCCGAGCTTTCACTTCATCATATGTCAGAAAAGCCATGTAACCAGGATGAGTTACAGCAAGGCTGTTCCAATTCCTGAGCAAAGAGGACCAGGGCTAAGGAAACAAGAGATCAATCACAGACTATTCAGCTCAAGACATGCAACCCGCTCAGAGCAATGAACAACAAAAGATTGTCACAAATGCTTAATTATATTGTCACTCCGAGGGAAGACAAATATGTCTAAGCTAAGAAGAAAAGAACACATGCCCTTAGGGAGACACTCGACTATACGAAATGAAATTGCAAAGCAGCTTTAACAGAAGTGAGGTAGTACAATAAGCAGAAAAGTAGGACAGGGCCTACATGTGCAGCTAGTAAGTCCCAAACAAATGTTTATGCAAATTGGCATATAAACACTGGAGAAGGCATTATTTTTAGAGAAAGACACAATCTTCCTGAAGGATCAATACATTGCAATATTTACAGTGAAGAATTTCAATTTAGCAGGAGAAAAAAGTTGGAAACATACACGAACATCCAATATCAGAAAACTGATACAATATATTAATTTTTTGCTAGTCTAGAAATATTAAAATGTTGCAGAATAAGAATATTCAATAGTAAAGAAGTAAGAAGAAAGTAGGTTACAGAGTTATTTTTAATACATATGTAATAAGGGGAGTTTTAATCTTTTTTTGCTTATAGTTTCTAAAATGAGATAAAATATTTTTATATAACAAAACCCCAAAGATGTTCCTTTCTTTTCTTATATAACAAAACCCCAATGATATTCCTTTCTTTCTTTTTTTTTTTTTTGA